AGAGACGCAAGCTGTACCTCTTACAAACCAGGTTGCAGAGTAAAAGCCGTGTTAGTCTGTATCCGCAAAAAGAACAGGAGTACTTGTGGCACCTTAGAGACTAACAAATTTATTAGAGCTGTAGTCCACGAAAGCTTATGCTCTAATAAATTTGTTAGTCTCTAAGGTGCCACAAGTACTCCTGTTCTTCTTACAAAACACTTTCTCAAACCATGTAAATGTGTAATGCACTTCACACAAGGGAAATTTTCTTGCTTACAAATTCACCTTACAAATTCAAAAAAAAAATCAACTATACAAATTAAACTTTTAAAATATGTTATATTTTCCAGTGTCAGTAATCATACCTATCTCTTCCACTAATGGTTTAGCTGATCTAGATTTCTTCTGTGCTAACAGAGCCGTCAGCATGTCCAAACCATCAAAATATTGACCAGAAGTCTCCTTAGGCAGTCGAACTGTAAAAATGCCTTGAAAGAGAAGTTAAAATTTCGTTCAGATGTATAACAATTTAAAAGATAACCTGTGTAAAAAAAATGTACAACCATTTCTCCTTATTGAAGCTAAATGTTCAGGAAGATATTTGGGTGTATTTCACCCAGGATGCATGCAACTAAATTTTTCCTATGTGTTCATCTCAATGCATTTTTTAAAGTTAACCTGACTGTATGAATTCCACAGAAACCAGATAATTAAATTCTTTTTCAAAAAGGTACACAAATGCTGCATCATTATCATTTATGGTGATGTCTTGACACAGCTCATATAACAAAGATAGAATAAGTACATTTTTATTTTTAAACCTTTTTTCCCCTCAAATAATCAACCATAAGATTAAAGAAAGACACATTTAATATTCTGATGTATATTTTATTTCAGGTGTATAAACATGCCTTTGGAGGCAGCAGACTGTATCTTAATAAGCCCAGGTCTTGGTTACAAAACATATTCTTGTGGGGCTTTATTTTGTTAATTGAATAAATTGTTGAACCAGATAGCTTACAATTTTAAGCCCCAATGCTGCAGTCACTTTCACACACACAGATATTGTACTTACATCTGCATAAAGTCCCACAGCAATGAACAGGCAATGCACAGAGCTCAGCACAGATCTCATTACAAGATCCAGGCATTAAATTTTGTAAATCTTGGGCAATTTGTATATATATTATTTACCATGAGGCCTGAAAATGTGTATCTACTTCCATGTTTTGACATCACCATATGAAAGATAATGCAGATGTCATAGTAAATATTAATATTGTATGGTATTTCTATTATTGCTGCTTCAACACAAATTATAATTTCTTTCTGGAGCTCAACAAAAACTTTACTAGTCCTGTCTCTACAGCAATACATTACTTTTGGTGGGATGTAGGATGGCGGATGTGTGTATTTCCATTGATTTCTTTCATAAGACTAGCCAGATGTCTGTATTGAGATTTGCTCTCTTACTAGTTACTCAAATTTATTCATTCTTATATTTCTTGCAGGCTTAATAGATTACCGATCTTGGTTCAGTGACTTATATTGTTCATGTCACATTGGAAGAAATCATATACATAGACCTTCCTTTAACAGGAACATTATGATCTGTATCCATGAAGAATTCAGCCTTCGATATAGAAAGTTCTATTATGAGAGCCATTCTCACTCATGGTTGGTCACTCAATGTCCTTTCAGTAGATGAACACCAGGGGCTAGCTCTTCATGCCAGATAAGAACAGAACTTGGAAATGTCATTACCTTCCTTCTTTTTAGCTAGCATAACCCATTTGTGTTTATATGGTAAATGTATACAAAACAAAACACTCTGAACTACAGGTTTTAAAACACAACCAAAACCAGGAGGAATCCCAGTTAAACATGCTTTGCTGCAAGTAAATTAAAAGTTCTGTGTAATTACAATGCAGCAGAAGGTACATTAGTAGACATAATGTGTTGTGTTTTTAATAATAAAAAACCCCAACATTATTAACTAATACCTTTGTCCACGTTATAAGATGCTTTTTCTCTTCCATCTTCCACAATTCTTCCAGGAAGAGTTAACCTATGGACAAAGATGACATGTCTTATCAAACACCTGATTTATCATCTAGACTAATGGCTCGACCAGTAAAAATATATGGCACATTCCCTAAGCAGTAGAGGATTTAACTACATGACTCTCCTTGATGTTAATGGAAGTCATGCAGCTAAATCCCTGTGCGCTACTTTGAAAGTTTACCCCCCATGTAGTAATGAAAGAGATCAGCATTTGAGAGAGAATTTGATGTTCCTGTCTTCCCAGCCAGGATAGAATCAGCATCACTACAGAGAAGACATCCTCGGCACTATGTGTAACAGGTAAAGGATTTTGCCATTTCAAGGAATGAAGACAGTTGACCCAGAATTACAAGATAGAAAAATCCTTCTGTTATTTTAGACTAATTGATATATTTATTGTCCACCCACCTACTCAACCCCCCTTATTGTATATGAACATGTGCAAGAGAGGAGAGCTGGTGCTTTGATGCTTGAAGTTCCCATAACATGAGAAAGAAAAGAGCTGTTAAAATTACAAGATACTATAGGTGAAGGGTTGTCAAACTTTTTCAGTGCGGATGACCTCTTAATATTGAAATTGTTTCATGGATCTTCTATACCATTCATCATTGCATTACTTATCTAACATGAAAAAGTAATATCAGGAATGCATTTAACATATTTTAGCTTCTTTTAATGTGATTTAGCAGCTGGAAACAAGAAGAGAACCAGCACCATGTGACCAGCCAGTTCTCTGCAGACCACAGTACAGGAACTGCAGCAGTAGAATGTGCTGTAAGACACAGATATAAAGTTGATTCTCTTTTCAGTATTTTTATTTTATGAAGCTCAAGGTTTTAAAATCCCTACATTACTTGCCTGAGAAAGTAAGGCTTAGCATAAAATTTAAAATCCTTTCCTTCAAAATATACATCAAACTCAGAAACTTTGGCATAAGGTACATTGATTGTTATAGTAAGAAAATCTGGGTCCTGGCTCAGTTCAAATGCTGGAGTTATCATGATGAATGCAGCTGAACAGGCAACCACACTCCCTGTAAAATCCTATTGAAAAAAGAAAAAAGATTACCTTCACAAAAGATAACTACAAAAATAAATACACTTTCTACAACAACATTTAAACTTGGAGGAGAATGTGATATCTTCTATACACCCGTGAATAGAAGATCTATGAACAAAAGAACTGTTTACATTTTCATCATCAAGAATTGTAAAACAATCTCTTTGGTTCCTAATTATAGCTCTTTAATCAAACCAACTAAATGAAGATAAACTCCTGAAGTATTTTAAAGTGCCAAGCATATTCAGTATGTAAAAGCATAGAGCTGATCGTGCTAAGTTTTGGTTAATTAACTACCTCTAATAATCATGTCAATGGAGAAACAAGAGTTTTTAATTTTAGCAAGAAAAAACATTCCAGCTATTTTTTGTTGTTGTGGGTTTGTTTGGTTTTTTTTACACTTATGCAATGCAAAAGAAATTCTAAGCCCTACTAACATCATAATTAAAACCCGATAAACCTGGTAGAAGTATAATCCATTACATGAGAAGATGGTGATACATGACCAATTTACTGATGCTTATGACTAGTCATCATGATCTGAATTGGATAGAATTCAATATACAATAATTGAAAATTGATTCCCATAGGGAGGCTATTGATCATGGTGTGTACTATTTAATCTATTATTATTCAATTCCCTTCTCCCATGCACACACTTTTTTCCCCAGAAGAATCTTTATAAAATATTTAGGAATATGGTAAGAAAAATGGAAGAGGTAGAAGATGGAATTGATATGGTTCATGGGACTGACTTGCTATTGCACATATGAGCAAGTGTTAGCTTGCCCTGTTTGATTTCAGAGTTCCTAAAACCTGAGCTCTGCTATAGTCAAGGCCGTCCTTACCCATACGCAAACTATGCAGCTGCATAGGGCACCATGAAATTTGGGGCACCAAATTTCCTAGTGCCCTATGCAGCTGTGTGCTGCTCCAGCAGCCAGCCCGATCCCCCGGCCAGCTGAGCTGGCCAAGAAAGCTGCCCCCACTCACACTCCACCCCTTCCCCATAGCTCCTGCCCCTGCTCCACTCCCCCTCTTCCCAACCCTGCTCCGCCCCAGCCCCACCCCCACTCCACCCCTTCCCCTGAGCTACGTTCTGGGGGACTGCAGCAGGGGTCGGGCACACCCTGCATTTACCGGGCGGCAAGAAGTGGAGCAACCCAGCCCCAACCCGCTCCACTCTGCATGCTCGTCCTGGGGGGATGGTTTACCCCTGCCCCCCACAGACCTTGGGCGCAGCCCCCACCCACGTGGAGGCCTGGGGCTGCCCCCCTCCTCCCCCCCCCATGCGGAGGGCACCACAATGTCTAGGGATGGCCCTGGCTATAGCAGTTGAAAAAAAACATCAGTCTAGCAACCTGATGTGTTTTGGCTCCATTGCATTAGCACATCACAGTAATGGAATCCTAACAATGATTAAAATCATAAAGGCAGGAAAAGTCTCAGTAAGTGTAACCTCTATATGGAATAATTTAGATAGTCATGAATTTAATAAATGGGTTTTATGTAAGTATCTTACAACAAATAATGAAAAGTTTGACATGGACCAACTAAACACATATCAACCAAGTACTCCTGACTTTCAAACACTGCATTCATTCCTGTTTTTAAAAAGCAGATTATAATTTCCCAGGCGCTAAATGTTAGATCTGTAAAATTTCATTAACTGAATTAAATACAATTTGGAAGAGAATTGTCCATATGATGAAAAGTATACTAAAGCAGAAAAAGAACTTATTAAAAACTTATTTTTAAAAAATCACTTAAAAGTATGCTTTGAACATGACAAAGAATCGCAGTATCAAATTACTCACAATTTCACAACCTAAAATTCTGCTGAGCAATGAGGATATTAACACCTCATTGCACATGTAGAGGACAGTAGACCCTGAAATGCTGAAATCCAATATTACAGAAAACAGGCTGAAAAATATGAGGCAGATTTATGATATATTAAAGCACAACCCTCAAGAACTGGGGTGGGCAAACTTTTTGGCCCGAGGGCCATATTTGGGTGGGGAAACTGCATGCCGGGCCATGAATGTAGGGCTGGGGCAGGGGGTTGGGGTGCAGGAGGGCGTGCAGTGTGCAGGAGTGTGGGAGGGGGCTCAGGGCAGAGGGTTCGGGTGCAGAGAGAGGAGCAGAGTCCAGGGGGCTCAGGGCAGGGGGTTGGGGTGCAGGGAGGGGTGTGGAGAGCAGCAGAAGGCTCAGGGCAGGGGGTTGGGGGCTCAAGGAAGGGGGATGGGGGGGCAGGAGGGATCAGGGTGCAGCAGGGGCCTCAGGGCAGGGGGTTGGGGTGCAGGAGGGGTGCAGCAGGGGGCTCAAGGCAGGGGGTTGGGGTGCGGGGTGCAGGCTCCAGCCCAGCGCCGCTTACCTTGAGCGGCTCCAGGGTGGCACTGGCACACTGGTAATGTTTAACTGGTCAATATCAACTTAAATAAAAAAATCACATCCGGAGGCATAAAAGGAACTGCAACCATCCAGGGAAGAATTCCCCAATACTTGACTACCATATGCAGACTTACACTGCTTCCCTAACAGTCCCGGGCATACAGAGCATTCTTGAGGTGTAAGAAGAGAATCCATAGTCTTGAGCAGGAATCGAGGCTGCAGCAGAACCCATTGCTAGCCTGCATAAAGCTGCTGTAAATTAGCGTCCCACAGCTGGCCCAGAATCAATGCGACCAAAAAGCAACTTAAAATTGCCTTTGCCTCTCTTTCCCTAATCTGTGCTTTCTGTGAATTACAGCTATGGATCTTATTACTACAGATGCATCACTATTCCCGTTATAAACCCAGTTTTTCAGGGGATATTTTAATTCATCAACAAAAATTAATTCCATCCTACCAGGCAAAAAATTGGTTTGGCTCTTATAGGGCTCCACAAATATTCTTTTGATCAGCTAGAGATAATTTTTTTAGGAGAAAAAACCCCCTGAGAATTGGTTTGTTTTTTAAAAGGAAATTTATGAACTATCCTGGATGCCTTTTCGGTGGACTTAAAAATAAATCCTTTAAAAACAAAAGAATTATAATTTGAAAAAGAGCTATTCGGCATGGAAAATAATATTTTAAAGACTAATAATAGTCTTTATTAAACAGACCCACGTTCTTATCACAATAACGTCTTCTTTAAGGCCATAATGCGCTGCATTAACACAACGCTACCTAATCTACTTAATAGATCACACAGCTAATAGGGCCATCAGGTGGGAATAGAAGCAGAGGCCTTGTCTACACTGCCACTTTACAGCACTGCAACTTTCTCGCTCGGGGGGGGGGGTTGAAAAAACACCCCCCCCTTAGCATTGCAAGTTTCAGCGCCGTAAAGCGGCAGTGTAGACAGTGCACCGGCGCTGGGAGCTGCTCCTTTTGTGGAGGTGGATTTTTTTATAGTGCTGGGAGGTGCCACGACTAGACAACCACATTGCTAGTGAAGACGTGCCCATAGATACTACTGCTTTTGACAACAATTCACTTCAAATCAACACCCTAATTCTGAATCACTGCTGTGTGATACATTTGCAGATAAGAAAATACCATGAATCTCAATACTTGCTAGATATTTCACTTTTTCTCTTTGCAAAACCCATCACTTTAAACACCGTATAGTAAGTAAGATTCTGAAGAGTGCATTAGTTAAGTGAGAGATAAAGATCCATTAGGTCATCTAGTGCAGTGGTTCTCAAACTTTTGTACTGGTGACACCTTTCACATAGCAAGACTCTAAGTGCAACCCCCCTTATAAATTAAAAGCACTTTTTTATACATTTAACACCATTATAAATGCTGGATGCAAAGCAGGGTTTGGGGTGAAAGCTGACAGCTCATGACCCCTCCCCCATGTAATAACTTCATGACCCCCTGAGGGGTCCCAAGCCCCAGTTTGAGAACCCCTGATCTAGTTCATTTCCCCCCAATGTAGGATTGTCCTCTACAGTGTATTTATTATCCTATGCTTTACCCAATCAAGTTTCAATTGTCCCAAAGTGATTCAACTTCCTTTTTGTCACACCACGGCCTTTCCACTGCAATATGGTGAAATACCTCTGACCATTATGTGGGGTTTAGACACAAGAAAGGCATTTTTTTTTAATTATTTCATGCCCTTAACATTATGACATTGAATTAACAGTCAGGAAACTGAATAACCAAGAGCCAATTTAACTGGGGTTTAGGGTACATGTGCTTTCGAAATAAAATTTGGGCTTGTCTACACTGAGAAGCTGGACTGCTTCAACTATACCCCACAGGTGAAACAGTACAACACCCCCACCCCCCTTCCTGTGGATGCAATTATACCCCTATCGCTATTCCCCTACAGAATGGGAGACTAGCTATACCAGTACATCCAACTCTATTAGTGTAACTGCATCCATGCATGGATGGGGGAGAGAGCTGGGGACTAAAGCAACTTTACAACACTGTGACTGCACAACTAAGAGTTGTGCCTGTACAACCATGCTAGTAAAGACGCACAAAAAACCCCACACCGCTAACCAAACCAGTAGCGCGATCTCCCCCTCGCTCCTCCATACCAACCCTTCAAGGACACCTAGCCCAGGTTTGCAGGGTGTCTCTCGGCTCGCGGGGGTGCAGAAGGGGCCGGCTCTGGCTGCAGGGGGGGCGGGCAGACGATGGAGGGCTGGGGCTGGGCCCCGGGGGGATGTGCCGAGCGGGTCTAACCTGCCCGCTGGGGGGCGGGGTCGGTCGCTCTGTCTCCCTGCGAGGGGAGTGAGGACCGGCCAGGCAGCGGCGGAAGCGCGCTTGGGACCCCGGCCGCCCTCCCCGCGCTGCCACTTACTGCGGCGCCGCCTCCTCACTGGCACGCGGACCAGGCTGCGCGCTGCCTGCGCGCGTGACCCGGACACACATAGCGCTCGGCGGGGGCGGGGACACAGGCCCCAGAGCGCGGGAAGGGGCGGGGCCTGTGGAGACACCACCCGCGGAGGGGCTGGGCAGCCCCGCCTCCGAGGGTGCCCCGCCCCTGCTGACTGTGCTGCTGCTCGGCGCCGCCCGCGCTGAAAACACAGCAGTGGCGGCGCTAGCCCGCCCACGTGGGCCTTGGTAGGGCCGCCCAGCTCATCTGTCCTCACGCTTCATGGGGTCCCGGCGGAGGGGAAAGCCGCCCCTCCTCGCCCCCTTCACATGTAGCCCGGACACCTGGGTTCTCTTCCTGTCCCAGCCCCAAGGTGTGAGGGGGCCGCAGTGACCCCGCTGGCTTGGTGGCTCTGGCTAAGGACGTCCCACAACTGGGGATTTCTCTGGGTTCAGGGTGAGTTCCTGAAGCCACTGCAAAGGCTCCCATTGCCCTTGTGGCCTAGCCCAGCATCAGGATGGGGCCAGAGCTTGGCCTGTTTCAGCCCCAGGGATGATTCCTTAAGGGAAGAAGTGGAAGCCATAAATACAAATCCTGGGACCCACCTTGCCCTGACACCAACCCCCCTTCCTTCCTTCCCAGGGGTGCTGTGGAGCTGTCTGTAATGTTCTTTGGGCAGCAGGCAGGCAGGCAGGCATGAACAGTATCATCATTAGTCCATTAAAAATAAACTACATTAAAAAATGTGGTTACAAAGTGAAGCACTCAAAAGTCAGGAAAGGGGAAAGTTAAAGTTGCCTATGTAACCTTAACTCTGCCCTCTTTTGTGTCTCATGTTCTTCCATTTTTTTCTAGCCGTAGCTACAGCTTGTGACATCCTGAAGTAATTGATACCGCCATACACATTGTAGACGTGGCCACATACTATTTTACAATTATACTGCAGGGTCAGGCCCTTGGAAGTAGATGCCGCATAAGAGCTAGAAATATGAGATGGGCTTGTAAGGAAATAAAAGCAAACATACAGCAAGAAAAAGCAACTGTGGGAAAAAGAGAATGAAAGAATACGGAGTGAGGGTTAAGCAAATAGAATGGGAGATTAAGATTTAAATTAATTTAAAAGATTATAGGAATTTTTTTAAAACTGAAAAATTTATTAAGGGGGGAAAAACCTTCAGAAAGAATGGCTAAACAGAGTATCATTCACATAAGGAACTTCCACTCACATAAGTTGTCCCACTGAAGTCAACAGGTGAAGGTGAATAAGATTATATATGTGAATGGCTCTTTGCAAGGACAGGTCCCAACTAATCAATCCATAGATCAGAAATACAAAGTTTAAAGAGAAAATAGACAAAGAACCTCAAAGAAAACACTAAAAGCAGAAAAGCTGAGGCTAAAAGGCAAAGATATTCAACAACATTTTTTTTTAAATAACAGAGTGTAAAAGCCCTAACTATTGTGAAGGAGGGACACTGTCTTGGTTTTCAGTTCAAAATAATTATCCACATTTTTAAATGTTGGTGTATGAAGACCCCCATTGAAACGCATCACGAATCTCTTTCCTAAATGGAAAAAAGAGGCTTATTTAACCTCTGTTGTAGGGGCTTTAAAAAGAAAGAAACACATTCTTCTAGGCTACAGAGAAATGCCCTTTTTCTTTAAAATATTATAAATACTCCACCTGCTGGAAAGCCAGAGTATATGAGCAAATAACATCACAGCATTGCAAAACACCTGTGGATCTGGAAAGGAGCTGGACCAGTAGTTAAATTCAGATTCACATGGTCATCTTCAGGCTTCTGGTTTGCAGAATCTCAGTCTACAAAAATGATGTAAGTGTTGTTTGGGTGGTTTTCCTGAGATCAGAATAGAGGAATTATAAAGGAAAATCACAATTGTTCATTCCTAGTAACTTCAGAAACTAGGGATTTTGACTTCTCCTGTCTTAACGCCCTGGGGGCTCCCCACTAATTAAACATTCCTTAATCTGAGTTTGTTTCCAAGTCATTGATTTAGTTTCTCTGGACTTTATAGTCCGTAGTAGTTTCAGTTATAAAAGCATTTTGACCATTAATAGATATTTTAGTAGCTTAATTTCTTCTTGCGGCCTTTTACAGTCTTTATCCATTTTATTTCCCCAGAGAAGATATGGAACCCTGAATCACACTGTTCTTCTATGTCATGTTTTTTTATTTTTTAAAAAGAAAACTAATATCACATATTAAATATGTTTTTACCACTAGACACAGGAAGGTATGGATCATGTATTTTATTGGCTTTGGGATCATGTTTTCAAACTTCAAATGATTTTTTTTAAAAGTGGAATTTAAACAAAATCAAGGACGTAGGTGTAATGTACTTCCTAGTGTGTCTAGGTAGATAGAATGACAGACCTGTTCAAGAGTGTGTGTGTGTGTGTGTGTGTGCGCATGTGCGCACGTGGGTTGAATGCATGAAAGAGAGAGAGAGATCATGTTCTGTTTTAGCTGTTACCTGCTCAAGGATATAAGCCTTAATACTACTACACATAACACAAAGACCCTGGTCATGACCTAATCTGTGAACTCCAAGTGCCAGTTCTGTGCCAGGGAGATTTCCTGCTGGCATGGGGCTAATGGAAAAGTGGAGAGGCATGTCAGGGTGTGGCAAGGAGTTATAGAGGGCAGTTGGCATGGCACTCTGGCTGTGGCCAGCTCCACAGGAAGCTATGGCAGCACAGTGTAGTTAGAACTCCAGAAATTCAGAGGACACAACGGTAGCATACATCAGCCTTTGCATCCCCGTGACCTCCTCTCCATTTTTACTGCAATCCAGAATCAGGGTCAAATTCACTTTTTAGCCCAAGTGATAGGGTCCTATTTTTTGAAGCAGGAGGCCCTGACTTATTTTCCTGCTTAAAACTGTAACCCACTCACCAGATACATTACATGTCCCCTTCTATGCCCCAGGGCCACCCAGAGGATTCAGGGGGCCTGGGGCAAAGCAATTTCGGGGGCCCCTTCCATAAAAAAAAGTTGCAATACTATAGAATACGATATTCTCGTGGGGGCCTCTGCAGGGCCCGGGGCCTGGGGCAAATTGCCCCACTCGCCCCCCCCCCCTCCCCGGGCGGCCCTGCTATGCCCAATCCAAAGAGAATGTGAGTCTGTTACAGAGCTTGGCTCTTTAGCTCAAGCTTCAACAACTCATGCAGCTAGCTGTTTCAGTGCCCAGCATCCACCAAGATGGTAGCTGTAATACAACCTGGAAATCTGTGTACCAGAAAACAAAATTGACTAGGACGGTGTCATTCTTACCATTATTTTCAGAGTAGAATCAAGATTTAGATACAATTAATTAGTTAATTCTAGTTCAGCAATAAAAAGCCCCAGTTAGCCCTTTACAAGCACTTGCATACTCTGTTTTTCA